TTTTCCTTCCCCCCCCCCTTTTTTTGATCAATGTACCATGAAATGGCACATTTTTACTGTGAAATAAGCAATTTTTTACCATGGAGGGGGAAACCTTTAAAGAAATAATTATAACTAAACCAACCCTAACAGTTATTTAGTCAGCCAATTATAAGAGGAAATAATCTTTCCAGATGGAGCCCACAAATGTTTGCTTCATCTATACTTAGAGTTATGTAGCCTCTGTGCATGTTGTTGATTTTTTAATTTTTTCCATTTATTTATAATAAAAAATCCTACTCTGCAATTTCCTCTCCAAATGAAGATGCCCATTACTATCTTTGTACGTGACCGGCAAGGGGAATATTCACGTTCACTTCCACAATGCAGTCAATTGCAGAGCTTGCTATCACTAAGATTCCACAACTTCCACTTTCTAGAACATTGTGTCCAGTTCTGGGTGACTCTTTTTAAGGAAAATCCATGGACAAACTAGGGCATGTTCAGAGGTGGACAACCAGGACGAGGAGAGCCTAGAAACCAAGTCCTAGGAGGTTTGGTTTAAAAAAACTGGGTGTGTTAAAACAAGAGGAAAGATTAAGAGGAGACATAGCAATCCTGCCATTTCAGCGTAATTTTCTGGAGGGCAACCCCAGAGTCAGTCACAACTGGACCTAATGGTCAGGGGTCCCTTTACCCTTTACCTTTGCTAAGATGCTAAGAAACTGAGGTGATTTTAATCAGTTTTACTATTCGTAACTTTCACATTTTTGAAAGTACATTTGCAATTTTTCCCTTTATTTTACCGTTTTATCTTTTGTAAACCTTTTTTTAAAAAAATGATCAAGCAGTGTATAAATTTTATGAAATAAATAAAACAAACAAGCAAACTCTTCTGAGGGTCATTCTGCCTCCAGCAGTGGAGGGAGAATGTAGGCAACAACTGATAACTTTATATTCTATGAATTTGTTGAATCCTCTTTTAAAGGTAAAGGTAAAGGTACCCCTGCCCGTACGGGCCAGTCTTGACAGACTCTGGGGTTGTGCGCCCATCTCACTCAAGAGGCCGGGGGCCAGCGCTGTCCGGAGACACTTCCAGGTCACGTGGCCAGCGTGACAAAGCTGCATCTGGCGAGCCAGCGCAGCACACGGAAACGCCGTTTACCTTCCCGCCAGTAAGCGGTCCCTATTTATCTACTTGCACCCGGGGGTGCTTTCGAACTGCTAGGTTGGCAGGCGCTGGGACTGAACAACGGGAGCGCACCCCGCCGCGGGGATTCGAACCGCCGACCTTTCAATCGGCAAGCCCTAGGCGCTGAGGCTTTTACCCACAGCGCCACCCGCGTCCCTAAATCCTCTTTTAAATCCTTCAATTTGAGGGTTGTTACTACATTCTGGGAGCAAATTCTACAATTCACTTATATGCTTTGTCAAAATTGTGGGAGAATCTGAAGCCAAAATCGCAAATGGACGGTTGCTAGAGAATTACAGACAAGGGAGTGTCTGATGTTATATCCTCTAAACCTGTATAGCAGAAGGAGGAAAAATAGAAAACTTAATCATCTTCCTGTCACAGCTAGGCCTGGGCAATATATCAACATATCACCCAGGACCAGTACGAGGGGCAGACTGTGATGACAGTTTCACTCAGTGGTATATCATGGGGGAAAACTTCCTTCTGAGTCCCTCTTCTACCAGCGCCAAGGGAGAAACAAGCTGTAGCTGAGTGCTGGAGGCAAGGGGACTCAGAAGGCAGCAGTTTCGCCAGTGATATACCACTGAGTGAAGACACCATCTTCTGTCCTCATATTGGCAGAAGGAGAAACAAGCTACATCGGTGAGGTGCTGATATAGTTTGTTCCTCCCTCTGCCTCTTTAATCTGCTTGGCCGAGGGGCGCACCATTGCCCTCACCTCAGCCAAGCAGTTCTACAGAGCCCTCAACCTGCCACCAGCTGCACAAGCCAGCGCTGGGGTGGGGGCTCCATTGAGGTGCTCCTCCTCCCTGGTTGAGAGAGCCCTGGCTGCTCAGCTCGGGAGGCGTGGGCTCTGTCACACTTCTCCCTTGAGGGGGGACAGCTGCGGGTGTGAGCTCCATTAGATTCCCCAACGCCAGCAAGGCAGCTGCGGCTGAGGCAGGCCTTCAGCCTTGCCACGGGGGTCAGGCTTAGCCAGGCGGCGCACCAGCAGCGTCAGACTGCCCTGCCTTGTGGACTTCACCCCAGGAGGGTGGGCTGCGTCTTTCTACCCAGGGTGAACGACCACCCCAGGAGGAAAGAGCCAGCGCACCTGCATGGACAAAGGCAATGCTTGGCCTGTCTTCGGGGAGTGGGGTAGGGTGAGCGAGCGAGATTGCTCACGCCACCGCCGCCCCACCAGCTAGCAAAAGCAGAAGGAGCCTCAGGAAGGAGCCCCGCCATCCCTGCCACTTGTGTATTTTCAGCTGATGAAAACTATCACAAAACAGTAGTATCATTCTGGAAACACTGTCCTTGAGACTTCTGGGACGTCTTCCATTGAAACGTTTGAAAAACTATTGAGAAAACTTTACTTTTGAGACTTTCTGTTGAAACCTTTACATAACCATTGTGAGACCGACCTTTAACGCCTATCTTGAACACATGGCTTAACGTTCTGCGCCACTAGTCTGTTACATTGTATATATGAATTCTAATAGATTTATTTCTACCTTTTGAATGATATCATTATTTTATTACATGTGCTTTAGCAGTTATTAGCCTACGTGTTGTGTCTATATTTCTGTGATTGGTTCTCATTGCAACACAGGGTTTTGTTTTTGGCACTCATGTGTGAGTGGCAAGGATACCAGGGCTCACTCAGCTGGGGACAGGAGCTTTTCCACACACACACACCTCAGCTGAGCCTCAGCCCCAGATGCACTGGCCCCAGCCCACAAGGCACTGGGGTGAAAGTGCCTCAGCTCCAGCAGTGAGAGCTGAGGCACTTTCACCCCAGTGCCTTGCTGGCAAGGGCTGATGCAGTTTCTTTCAACATCATGGTTTATCGCCAAACTGCGATGTTTGGTTGATGATAAATCACGATGTTGCAAACCCAACATCGCCCAGCCCTAGTCACAGCACACTCTTCTTACCTTTAATGGGATAGATTGCCTGTAGAGTCTTCTCCACAGAGTTACACACCATTTTGAACTGGACAATGGTCTTTTGTAACTATAAGAACTATTGCCTCACTGATTTGCATCCTTAATCCTGGCAAGACTTATATGTGAGTAAACTTTACTTTTTTCTTGTTTACAAGTGATTTCTTTGTTAAAAGGGAAACAGAGAAGGGAGATGATCCACATCTTTGAATATCATAGCATCTTTGAATATCATAGTTGTTCTAGGTTATACAACCTTGTCTCTAAAAGCTTCTAAAGGTAAGCTATGCACAGGTGGTGATTTTTAAAAAAAACTGTTGAAATAGGTATTTGCATTCTTACACAAGTAAGAATCTCTTGTATTATGAGAGGGGAAGGGGGGACTTTTTCCTATACACTGTCTCCACACAATGAATAATTTTATACACTTCTTTCATGCCCCTCTTACCTGCCTTTTCTCTAAACTAAAAAGCTTCAAATTCCTTCCATTATGAAGGAATTCAATGCACAGAGAAAGAATTGCAGGGAGGGGCATCGTAATTCAGACCCCACATCACTGGCATAAAAAATATTTCATATCACCCCAAACAGCATGGAACTAACACCAACTTCCGTGAATGTACCATGCCTTCTGAAAGCAATCCTCTTCCATTCTCCGTGTCTGACACAAGGTTCAAGACCCCAAGTTCTCCATAAAATATCACATTATAAAGCAATGCATAGAGACTGATTCTATAGCCGCATTTGCCTTGCCCATTGACATATTTTGACCTTGGGTTGCTTGGTTATTTATTTACTTGCTTAGATGGCTTACTTATTTACTTATTTGACCACTTACACCTAGCAAAGTTTGAGGTGGGTTCCAATTTATATCTCAACAAAATTATAACCAACCCTAACAATAAAAGTAAATAATGAGCAGTGAATGGGGTGGGAAGAGTATCATAAAGCAAAATCATAAAAGAGTTTAATAAAAAAACCAAAACAGCAATAGCAGACTAAAACCATATCACCAAAGGCTCTGGTTTATCTCGCACCCACCCACCCCAGGAGCCTTTATTAAAGTAAGATTTTTTTTTTGGGGGGGGGTGTCTCTTTGCAGAAAAGACCTCTCTCCTGTCCTTGCCAACCACTTCTATGGCCTAGCAGTTTTTCCAGCTGATCCAAGAGAAATCTGCCATCCTGAATTTGATCTAATTCTCTCCTTTAGGGCAGCAGAGCACACAGAACCACAGAATTGTGGGGTTATAATGAACCCCAAGGTTCATCTATTCCAACCCCCTGTGGTGCAGGTGTCTTTGCCCTCTTCCATAGAGGTGTTCAGATGCTACAAGTGTACAGTCCATATGTATCCATGTACACAGATAGTCGAGATATACGCTTCTACCATAATCCACATGTATTGTTCAATGAATATACAGTTTATGGATCTGTACACAATAGCTGAGCTGTGCAAATCTACAAGTGTCCACTCTTTCACGTGTGTAGAGAATAGCTGTAAACGTTTCCCTTTCCCCTTATTTCAAATAGGATTCCTCGCAAGAAAAGGGGAAAATTGACAGCTATGGTGTAGAGACAGCTTGTTCCTGTGTTCAGTGCAACACACAAACAAGCCTCATGTGACAGTTCTTCAAGAATAGTGAGCGTGGCGGGGGATGGAACTCTCACTTCTCACAACTGGGAAACTATAGCCCTATCAATGCCGCTAAAGTCTGCATTAGTCATTTTTGCAGCTGCCATGCTGCCAGTCATATTCAGCAATTCTGAGCTCCTTTTCACAAATCAGGCATCACCCATCCTCTAGTTTGCAGCTGCCTATCATCCATGTACCACACAAAAGACATCAAAGGGAAGCTATTGGTTTAATGGAAAGCACCCCCAAACAAAAGATTCCTCCTTACCTGTATATTTTATACCGGGTTGTAAATCCCTGACGATGTCTTTCCACAAAGGATAAGTAGCTCCGCGAGTGGTGGAAGGGCCCTCTGTCTGAAATAAGCCAATCAAATTCCTTGGAGACATGTTGGTTGGTCGCAGCGGGTTGCTGGTGGGAGGGCTGTACTGTTATATGGTCCCATATAAAGAGGAAGTAGAGGAACTCAGCAAGCCTCCAGTTCATGCTTTTCTGTCTGCCTTTTTCCTCTCATTCTTGCTCCATTCTGTGGAGTCCTGTGTAGGGAGGGGAAAGGGGGAGTAGAGAAAAGGGAGGGAGGGAAGAAAGGAAAGAGAAAAACAGGGGCAAAGAAGAGTGGTTTCAGTGCTTGTTTTTAAATTACCAATAGGATATTTGCCTACAGTTTCCACTTGCGTTCATCCAAAAGTATTCAGGAACTCACACACCCAAACACTTTCCATTGCTGAAGGCTGTCATTCTGCCTTCTGTATATGCTAGCCTGATTGTGCTCATTGGAAAACAAAGAGAAAGTTTGTGCTTTCAGCTAAAGGTGTTTCATAAAGACAGACAGATTGAGAGTTTAATAAAAATGCATAATTGTCCTTATATCAGCACATCAGTAGTGGGGAAACGAACCTCAAAAGCTACAGCAAATGGAATGGCAGACTGTGTGTGACATGAGGCCTTGATCTTCATGCGTGTGCACTGATGTACATCTGATCTTCAAGGCACAATGTCTCTGTCTCTTCCTTGGAGACTGCATTCTTGTGCATAATAACTCAGTATGTTCAAGGGGTTATTCTCCAGCAAAGTGTTCTCCAAAGTGTTCTCTACAAGACTGCCTTACCCCACATGACTGGATCAACCAGTGAAATTGGTACTACTACAGGTGCCACATAATGCCAGTTCCACATTGGTAAGAACCTGATTGTTTACTGCGGCAGTGACTACAACTTTGGAACTTATTGCCTATTGAGATCAAGAAGCCACCTTCAGTGTTCTCTTTTGGTGCCTACTAAAAGCTTGTTTAAACAAGCCTACCCAGATGCTTAGAAAGTTGAGGTGATCCTTTTCAGTAATTTAACTTCCATATGTTTTAAAGCAGGGTTGTGAATTTTTTGTTTTACTTTTTTTCTTTTCTTTTTTATAATCAAGCAGTATATCATTTTTATGAAATAAATAAACTCTGGGTCCCAGGATGTAGTTGGACTACACATCCCATCACCCCAGGCAGCTTAGCCAATGGTCAGGGATGATGGGAGTTGTAGTACAACAAAATATGCAGTGGCTAGGCTACCTAAATGCCAGGTGTTCTCTCTGTTGTCCAGTAAGGGCATTAAGATTTACAAATAGGCCCTAGTTAGCCTTACAAAGTCATGATGCTTATCAGCTTCTTCACTGGTAATGTGGGTGTTGCAGAATATGCTCCTTGCTGAAATGTGAGAGGCCCCCATCCTCACTGCCATTCGTCTTGCCCTATTTATACACAAGCAGTTTCTTGACCTCTTAACACAAGAATTTTGTTTTAATTGCACAGCAGCTTTAATGGGATCGTTTTGTTGCTCATTTCAACACTGGTGGTTTGCATTTTAATGTTTTAATCATAGAACTGTAGAGTTGGAAGGGACACTGAGGATCATCTAATCCAGGAGTCATAGAATCATAGAGTTGGAAGAGACCACAAGGGCCATCGAGTCCAACCCCCTGCCAAGCAGTCACCAACCTAAGGCCCATGGGCCGGAAGTGGCCCGTGGAGGTCATTTGACCGCAGTGGCATAGCGTGGGTTGTCAGCACCCGGGGCAAGGCATGTAATTTGCGCCCCCTAACCCGTGGATTTGCGCCCCCTAACCTGTGGATTTGCGCCCCCTAACCTGTGGATTTCCCCTAACCCCAGATGTTGCGCCCGGTGCGGCCGGCCCCCCCTGCACCCCCCACACTACACCACTGTTTGACCGGCCCACAAGCCACCCCTGAACCAAGCAGCCTGCTCGCGAGCTGCACTAAACCGGCGCAGCACAATGCGGGGACTCGCTTTCGCGGTGCCGAAAATCACGTCTGCGCATGTGTGATGGAGGGATCTCCATGGGACTGATCTGGTCTAGGCAAGATAAATCTTGCTGACGCCTGATCTAATCCAATCCTCCTGCAATGCAGCACTGATAACTTAAGCAACTAAAACTTAAGCATCTGCTTTAAAAACCTCCAATGACAGAGAGTCCACCACCTTCATAGGGACTCCGTGCCACAGTCGAACAGCTCTTACTGTCAGAAAGATCTTCCTGAGAGTTCAAAGAATAGAACCGTAGAGTTGTTAGGGTACACCAAGGGTCATCTAGTCCAACCCCCTGCAATGGGGAATCTCAGCTAAAGCATCCATGACTGATGGCCATCCAACCTCTGCTTTGAAATCTCCAAAGAAGGAGAGTCCATAACCTCTCATGGGAGTCTCTTCCACTGCCAAACAGCTCTTACTGTCAGAAAGTTTTTCTGTATATTTAGCCGGAATCTCCTTTCATGTAACTTTTGAAGCCATTGGTTTGAGTCCTACCCTCCAGATCATGAGAAATCAAGCTTGTTCCCTCTTCCATGTGACAGCCCTTCAGGTTTCTGAAACTGGTTATCATATATCCTTTCAGTCTCCTCTTTTCCAGGCTAAACATACCCAGCTCCTTCAACTGCCTGTCATAAGGCTTAGTTTCCAGTTAGATCAGTTCATTTTAAAATGCAGACTGAACATAATTCTGCTCCATCCTGATATTGAATTGGAATTTCATTTCTTGTTACTTGAAACATTGGTTCGGGTCCAACCATCCGGAGGAGAAAACAAGCTTGCTCCATCTTCCATGTGACAGCCCTTTAGATATTTAAAGATTATCATTTCTCCTCACAGTCTCCTCTTCTCTAGCCTAAACATACCCAACTCCCTCAACCATTCCTCAAAATATTTGGTTTCGAGACCCTTGATCATCTTGGTCACCCTCCCTTGCACATGTTCCAGCTTCTCGATATCCTTCCTAAATTGTGGCACCCAGATCTGGACACAGTACTCCAGGTGTGGTTTGACCAAGGGAGAATACAGTGGTACTAAGATCTGGACATTATAATTTGATGCAGCCTAGAATCGTTAGCTATTGACTTACATTAAACTTCTTTTTACAAGCCAGATGTCCCCCATCTTCTGGGATTGTTTTATTTCTTGCATTTTAATTATGTTGTATCTGTGTTTTAACAACGTTGTTCAACTTTTTTTCTGTTTAGAAGGTAGGTATTAAGCAATATATTCATTACTTCTACTATCACCAGTGCTTTTATTCAAGAAAATAGGTGCTAGAACTCACCATCAAGTTGTTACAGTTAGTCAGCAGGTGACTCGGGCCAGATTCTAATGCCCCTGATTATTTTACCCTGCAAGTAAAACAAATGCGCCCCCACCTCCCTCATTTTCTTAGATTCATGCGGATGGCTAGGGCAGCTTGGAAGGGCCCTTGCACAATTGTGTGTGTGAATGCAACAGTAGATGCCTAGCTGGAAAGCTTAAAGCCCACCGCTACTACACAGACTGAAGAAAAGGAAACACAAATTAGCCCTGCCCCAGTGATAGCTAGGAGTGGCTAGCTGCTAGGTGGAGTCATAGACCTTAAAAAAATTGTAGACTTGCACATGCTGCCCAGCTTCTGTTATGACTTCAAATGTTCGATTTGGGCTTCTGAGAAGTACATAAAGGCAAGAAGCAGGCAGGGGGAGCACCAGCCTACACTGGCACCCACCTGAAAGGTGCTCAAACTGCGCTCTGATGTGCTTTGACTGAAAAAAGCACCGACTACCACTATGAATAATATTAGTAATAATGGCAATTCTTTTACAAAAATATCTGAGGGCACAGGTTGGGGGAGCCTGTACTACAGCAGTATTCTTTAACTTTGGGTTGAGGCAGTGGCGTAGCGTGGGGGGTGCAGGGGGGGGCCGGCCACACCGGGTGCAACATCTGGGGTTAGGGCAAATCCACAGGTTAGGGGGCGCAAATCCACGGGTTAGGGGGCGCAAATCCATGGGTTAGGGGGCGCAAATTACTTGCCTTGCCCCGGGTGCTGACAACCCACGCTACGCCACTGGGTTGAGGCACAACTATTCCACTCTCTCTGTAGTTTTAGATGGTTAGTTAAAATGCATCTTTTTTTTGCGATGTTTAGAGGAGAAACTTGATTGAGGCTACTAGTAATTTTCCTTTACTGCTTTGTTATGTGTTCTTTATAGGATTCTGTTATGAATTTTATGTGTTCACTTTATGAGACCACTACATGAAGAATCGAAGTGGTGGCATCCAAAGTTGACAAGAAATGCTATCAGAAAGTATATAGAAACTGTCAGAGGCACATGAATCTAATGAAATGTCCAAGGTTTTATGATTGGAATGAGCGTAGAACTCAGAATCATTCTGAAGGGAGTGGGCATGCTAACTGTAAGCTAGCCCTGCACTGAGCAATTAAGAAACAAAATGCAATTAAGCATCGTCAGAAGTAATTAAGTAAATAAGTTGAGTAATTAAGCTTGTGATTTGTGGGCTATATCACCTGCACAAATGGATTTTTGTCATAAAAGGACTATAATAGAGAATGAGACTTGGAGGGAGGGAGAGGGAGAAGATGAGGTTACTCCTCATCTTCAAAAGAGGGGGGAGAGAAGACCCAGGTAACTACCAACTGGTAAGCTTGACATCAATACCAGGAAAGGTCCTAGAACAGATAATTCAACAGTTGGTCTGTGAGGATTTAGAAAAGGATTCTGTGATTACTAAGAGCCAGAATGGGTTTCTCAAAAATAAGTCATGCCAGAAGAATCTCATTTCTTTTTTTGATGAAGTTACAAGCTTGGTGGATCAGAGGAATGCTGTGGACACAGTGTATCTTGATTTCAGTAAGGCTTTTGACAAAGTCCCCCACGATATTCTTGTAAGGAAGCTGGTAAAATGTGGGTTGGACGAGGTAACTGTTAGGTGGATTTGTAGCCGGTTGACTGACTGAACCCAAAGAGTACTCGTGAATGGTTCCTCGTCGTCCTGGAAAAAAGTGACAAGTGGGGTTCTGTCCAGAGCCTGTTGTTCAACACCTTTAGAAATGACTTGGATGAAAGAATTGAGGGGATGCTCATCGAATTTGCAGATGACACCAAACTGGGAGGGATGTCTAATGCTGCAGAAGACAGAATCAGAATTCAAAATGACCTTAACAGATTGGAGAACTGGGCCCAAGCTAACAATATTAATTTCAGTAGGGA